AAAGAAATAATATAATTTTTTGTTTAATAAATGAACTTGTATTTGCAGCTGCAAAGTAGATTATTGTTTTTATTTATATGATTTGCATCTTTAATTTAGTGTAAATTAACATAGTAATCTTTTATGATTAATATATTTTATGTTTCACAAAAATTGCATTTAATATCAATGTGTGATAAAAATTAATCATTTTTAGCAAAATTCATTTGACAGACATATGAGTTAAAGAATGTAACCTCGTTGTTTCATCTAGATAGCTTTTTATAGATCTATGACATCATATGCTGTATATAGAACAGGATTGCTATATTCATCTTTCAGACATATTATACCATTTCTAAAATGAAATTTAATCCCTTTGACTGAGAAGAAAATCTTCCTTGTACATTTCTAGTCCAATCTGTCCAAATAAGGACGTGTTGGTGACATATCATCCCACATATTATGCATGCATTAGAATATTAATGAATATTATTTTTATTTCATATTTCAATATATTTGAATTTCATCAATATATTTGAATATACATGCAGTTTTATTATTTATTTAAAATATATATTAAACAAAAAAATACATTTGTATACATACATATATATGCCTGTGTACATGCTTTAGAAATTTTGCAAACTTTACTGCTTTTTTTTTAAATTGTATTATTGTAATGCTTGTAAATTAAGATTTATTTGAAAAATTTTATTATTATATGATCAAATTGAAACTAAAAATGATAGAAAATTTAAGAAAAATTAAATTATTAATATATATTAACATATAATATACAGTCACAGCATTTATTATGGCTATGATATTATCTAATAAATATTTATATGAAAGTTTATAATTATTTCTAGTTATTTAGAAAAAAATATGTAACTTTTTAGATTAATATTAAATTTTATGAATAATAAGATTTAATTTTCAAAAATTTTTATTGATATTATATGTATTATATTACGTATATTATATAATTTTATTGTATCACAATTTTATTGTATCACAATTTTATTGTACACAATGTATGTCACAATTGTATAAATATATTTATATTCTGTATATTATATATTATCTATATTATATATTATATATTATCTATAAATTATTATAAACTTGCTCTTTTTATTAATTATTTGGATTAACATTTGATTAAAACTATTTTACAAGAGGATAATTATCTTTTGTAGGTATCAAGACTTGTTATTTTACATGAGGAAGCAGAAGATGGAAATGCAATGCCAGATTTGGGAAGGCCTGTACAGGCTGTTAGTATGGCTGTAACTAATCTTGTAAAAGTAAGTATTTAAATAAAAGTAAGAAATAAAAAAAATTCCATTTTGAAAATATGGTTGAGCTATGGTATACTATGTTTTACAGCATTTTTGTTTTTTCATTTTATTACAGCATGTTTTATTATTATATTTTATAATTGTTTGATGTTATGATAAGATATAAATCTTATCATATATTTGTTATGTCTTATCATGTCTTATTATTTTAAACTCTAGGTTGGGAAGGAAACAATAAATTCATCTGATGATGCTTTACTTAAGCAAGATATGCCAGCAGCATTGCAACGTGTTGAGGGTGCTTCCCGTCTTCTGGAGGAAGCATCAGCTATGTTGAAGGAGGATCCATATTCTGGACCAGCTAGGTAAAATTTTATAAGATTTTTAAACAAGAAGTGTACGTACGTGTATGAACGCGCGCGCGCGTGTGATTTGAATTTTTCTATATCATATATATATTTTTCTATATATCA